GAAGTCATGAACAAACAAAAATTGAAAGAGAGAGAGAGAGAGAGTTCAACATAAATCAAACATGAATTAAATTAATCGGATAGAAAAATAGTTCTAGAGTAAAAATTAAAGAAATCATCTCACACCAAAGCGAAGACATTAATGCACTTTGCACTTTTGTCATGATCTAAAATCTAGACAAGATTCAATGTGTGATTAAAATCTAAACAAGATTCAATGTGATTACAGACAATGATGGAGATGCGCTGATACTCTCAACAGAATATTTATATAAGATATGTCACTCAAGTGTCTGCGTATTGATTTTTGAAAGTTTTAGAGCTGATTTGGTATTGCTGTGCTTTAAAAAAAATAACTATTTATGTTGTGCTGTGAGAATAAGCAGCATAGTGTTTGGCAAATTTTTTTGTGAAACTGCTTTTGGAGAAAAAAAAAAAAAAAAAAAAAGCAGTATTATAGTATTTAGTAAACTTTTATGTAAAACAATTGTGACTGTGAAATGACCAAAAAGGGTATAATTTTGGATGTGCCATTAATTTAATTTCTTAACAAATAAAGGTGAATTACTAAATATACTTTATTTTTAAAAGAAAAATATTTATAAACTTTATCTTAAATATTAATTAGTATGACAAACTACTTCAATTGAAATATTTTAGACTGAATAGCTAGGACTCATTAGTACAATATTTTGAATGTACTTGCAAGTAGTCTAATTGGATGCATTCATCAAACTTGCCGCTATTCTATTTCTTAATGCTTCTTGATAGGAGCATATTTAGGCGACTTAACTAGCTTATTCTTGTGCATTTATGCTATTATTTCTTAGTTAATGTCGCATTACAACTCAATTTCGTGTGTTTGTAGGACCTATGGGGTAAAGTATCAAGAAAGGGCATTTTGGTGCATTTTGGAGCAATTTTGGACACTATGTGGATAGCTTACATTTGGGCTAACATGGATGGACGAATTTTGACTTCAAGAGGCTAGAAATGTGATAAGAAGAGGAAGGAATAAGCTTGTCACTAGCCGTCCTACCTTGTCTCCTAGCCGTCCTACCTTGTCACTAGCCGTCCTAGCTTGTCACTAGCCATCCTAGCTTGTCTCCTAGCCGTCCTACCTTGTCTCCTAGCCGTCCTAGCTTGTCACTAGCCGTCCTACCTTGTCTCCTAGCCGTCCTACCTTGTCACTAGCCGTCCTACCTTGTCTCCTAGCCGTCCTACCTTGTCTCCTAGCCGTCCTAGCTTGTCACTAGCCGTCCTACCTTGTCTCCTAGCCGTCCTACCTTGTCTCCTACCTTGTCCAAGCTACACACTTGTATCCCTTAAGTGTTTCATGTATATATATCCTTGTAATCCTGAAAGGGGGATAACTCATTCACTCAATTTTCGTCCATTCATCTAGCCACACCATTCTACACATCCTAAAATCCTAGAAACACAATTCCAGCCAACACTACACCTTGCCGTGCCTATCCTCCATCCAATTCCATAATCCCTGATCCTAAAACACATCCCAACCATCCCATCCACCTTTGTGCCGTAGCAAGGAGAAAGAAGGAAGGACTCTTGGATGCTCAAGCTTCGTCGTTGGTGCATTCTAGGTGTAATTCGTTTTATGATTTCAATGTTTAATTTATTTTCCTTTCATTTTGCTATGAACATGAGTGGCTAAACCCCTATTGGTTAGGGGTGATTTCGAAGCCATAACTATGTGTGCAAGTTGATTTGATAAATTCCAGTTATGAGTTCTTGAATCGTGAATGCAATTGGCTTAACTGTGCGAGTAATAACGTATTTGTGTTTGTTAATTAGGGGTCGACACTTAATTGGCTTGCATGAATATGATGCTAGAATATAAGTTTGTTTCACATAATTGTCACACACTTATATTCACAAGTAGTGAAGGTTGCTAGTCACAATCGCGTTAAGTTCAATTCCTAGCATAAGTGTCATGATGTCATAGTCACAAGTGCTTTGTCAATGCTTATAGTTTTCATTGAACGTAATGATCTTTGATTGTATCTTTATTATGATGTCATGTAAGGAACTTTTGAAGAATGCTTTGGGTTGTCGTATGATGTCATCCAATTCAATAACACAAGGAAAACTTGAGAATTAACTAGTGATGTCACGGTTAATTTGGGGCATTGTCATTCATAATTCTATGAAGGAATAACTGGAAATCGAGTCATTTGCATACTTGTCATGTGTGGAGAAAGAACCCCTAACTAGTCCATCATCCATTAAAAACCCCAAAAACGTTTCAAAATCAGTTTTACTTTGCAATCTGTTTTCTCAACTTTAATTTCGTCCAAATCAAATCCCCCTTTACTTTGAAGTCTCAATTTAGTTAGAAATTGTTTTGGTTCATGTTTTTAAGTGTTTTGAGTCAAGTTTTCAACCAATTTCGTCCAAATTAGTGTAGGTGCTCAAAACTGCCCAGAAAGTGGTTTTTAGGCAGTTTTGAGTCTTCTAGTTGCTGTTTTGAGTTTTTGTTTTTGTTTTAGTGTTTTAACTTTGTTTTTCATTCTTTGAGTCCAAATTAGTGTTTTTAACTTTGTTTTGGAGTTCTTAGGTCAGTTTTCAAGAGTTTAGCAATCCCTCCTAATCCCCGGTTTTGAACGATCCCTACTTACATACTTTGCTACAATTGTCAGAAGAGGGTTTAATTTGTGTGCTTAATATATTTCGCATCACTTCTATCTCATGTGATCCTTTAACTTGATAATTTCGGTATTCTTCATCATCATCATCACTACTATCGCTCTCTTCACAAAAGTCTTTGGGGTCATCAAAATAACGATCACGTTAATCATACTATTTTGCAATATAACCAAGAAATAACTAATCAAACTATTTTGCAGTATGTGAAACTATCTCCCAGGATCGGTTAATCATCATTTGATCCTGCTTCTTAGAACTAGTGACAAAAACAGTAGACAAATAGTTTGATGGAATGGAATAAATCCCAACGTGAAAGTAAATAAATCCCATGGGACTTAAGGAACTTAAGGAATGATGGAAGGGAATAAATCCCAACCTGAAAGTAAAATAACTTGGTGAACCACAAGCAAGCAGGTGCAAAAACCAGCTGAAGAATTATTTTGTTCCATTTAACGACAAATATGTAATCCATACTGAACAAAAAAACTACTTTCTGTTCTATCAATAACAAAAAAATGCTGGCACAGAAAATGTAAGCTATATTATCCAACTTCTAAACAACAATATTACGTTTCTTAATTTCCTGTGCAGTTCGCCTACCGCTTCTTAATTTCCTGGGAGAGCAATCTATGAGTAACTTGTTAAAGTTAGGAACTAATCATTTCCTCTATCCAAACACTAGACCGAATCCATGTATTGATGCTCAGACCTGAAAAACTAATTACCTTTTTCCTCTTCCTTTCAACTCCAACATTCAATGACTTCAGACATCTGTTTTCCTTTCAGTCTTTGTTTGTGCTTGAGAGCATTATATATATTACTTATTTTTGTTTGTTCTACCTTTTAAATATATGCATATCCTAATGAGATTGCATTGCATCTGATTCATGGTCGCTCTGGTGTTGCATTGCATCTGATTCATGGTCGTTCTGGAGGCACTTGCACAGGAGGCATGAGGTTGCTATTTGATCTAGAACAAATTCAGAGGTATGCCCCCCATGCTCCTGCTTCTGCGCCATCTGTACGTATATTCAAATCATAGTTTTCATTTATTTTGGTGTGCAGTTTTTCTGTTTTCTTTAGGATTAAGGCCTTACTTTCTCTCATGTTATTAATTTCTTATCTCTTTCAATTCCTAAGAGAGTCTCATTAAAAAATACATGGATATACCACCATGTCCGAAAAAAAAATCCAAATTTAGCCAATCTACGAGAAGCCTTCCCGTAATCACAATACCAACTACATTGCTACATATATCTCACATTTTTGCCTTAGTTTGCATACACAACAGAAGAAGAACGAAACCACCTTAAGTTAACCACAATCGAAACAATATGAACAACAATTGATCATAACAGAGATATAAAAAGATTACTATGAACAACCAATTTTGCACATGAAGGCACTTAAATTAGGCACTTGTTCGAGTAGCCTAACCTTAACCCAATAAGGATAGGATAGATGGATCATATGCACAAAATCAACCCGAAAAGAGAAATTATAGTGGACAACATATACATTAAGCTTAAATAATTAAAAACCTGCCTCCACCAATAAGCAAAGCAGAGTTCACAGATAAGTAGCAGGACAAATCAGAAGCAGAGTTCACAGATCAGAAGCAGAGCAGAGCTTTATCCTTTTTTATATACCTAAACCCTAAGATAAATCAGAAGCAGACCTTCCACAAACCCTAATTTTTTTTCCCAATTAATTTTTTCCACAAACCATATCACCTTCCCCAATTAATTTGTTCCTGACCCTCCATCCCCAATCTTTTTTCCCCGACACTCATACACTCATCCATTTGCTCTTCCCACCCCTCTTTCACTCTCACTCTCCCATCCCCAAATTTATAAATCCAAACAAATAAATAACAAAATTTTAGACAAGAGAAGCTTAGCAGAGGAAGGACGCCGAGTCGGAGAATGCGACCTGGAGAACGAGAGAGATCGCCGGGATTGAAGTTTTCTAGTTTGGGTGCAAGAGGCGTGTTCTGAAAGTGTGAGGAAAGGAGGAGGGCAATTTTGGGTTATTGAAAACTTCAATAAAGATTACTGTTCACCCGTGTTTTTGAAAATAAGCTGGTTTTTGGAAGCTGCTATATGCTGCTTCAGGTTTTGGGCTTATTTTCATTCAAAACTTACAAATAAAGCTGATTTTGAGAGTTTACCAAACAACAAAAACACTCTCAACTTTTTTTCATACCCTTTTTTTTTTTTAAATTACCTCAATACCAAACTAGGGTTTACAAGAACGAATGTTTATATGTAGTGACTGGCTCTTCAGCTTTTATGTTTAAAAACTGTGCATTTACCCGCATTTCACTCCATCTTAACCTCCTCACTACAAATATGATTTCAACGTTTAAATAAAATGGTGGTCAGCGCATTTGGTGGATAAAAACACATATGTACTCCAACATTAACGTATTGAAGAAAATACTAAGATAAGACACATCAACAACTTACGTGTAAATTAACAATGGTTTTATTGTTTAGACAAACTTAAGTTTATAAAGAAAAAACACTTCGTTTCCACAAAAGTGAAGTGGGACGAGGGCGCCGATGTGCAAGGACGGACCACGTTGGCGCACGTCATCCATGCAGCTGACTAGGACGAGTTCAACTGATGATGTAGCACAGAATTTTCAGCCAAACTCTGTGTAGGCCAAAACTCACCACATGCCCACCACAGTTATTCTTCATCCCAGTCCGCGCCCTCCAAAATTACCCTTCTTCACCCCCAACATTCACCACCCCGAACCAACTAAAACAAAGCCTCTTCTCCCAAACTCCAATCATGGGCATTCTAGACATTTCACCACCATGTTTGAACCTGTAAAAACTCGTCCTAACCTATTTGTGTTCAACTGAATCAGCTCCAACAAATTCAGTTACTTTCACCATGGCTACCAAACGCTATGTTCTCACCATCTTCATCTTTCTCATCAGCATTGCCGGCAATGCAGCCGCAGCGGAGTCACAACAATGTGCGTCTAAATCCAAAGGAGAATGCCATGACAAAGCACAATCCCTAAAACTGAAGCTCATTGCCATAAGCTCTATTCTAGTCACAAGCATGATTGGTATCTGCCTACCCATTCTTTCACGCAAAGTTTCGGCTCTTCAGCCTGACAAAGACTTGTTCGTAGTTGTCAAAGCATTTGCCTCCGGCGTCATTCTTGCAACGGGTTACATGCACGTTTTACCCGACTCGTTTGATTGCTTGAGATCCGAATGTCTGCCCGAATCGCCTTGGAGGAAGTTCCCATTCACAACGTTTGTGGCTATGCTTTCGGCTTTGCTGGCTATGATGGTGGACTCGTTTTCGATGAGTTACTCTAGGAAATCTTTCCTTCGCAGAGCCGCCGCGCGCGAGGAAGATGAGGAGAGTGCTAAAAATAGTAGGTGCCCTGATCAATTAGAGCATTTTGGTCATGGCCATGGGATTAAGACTGAGGATGGGCTCAATGGTAAGGATTCACAGTTGCTGAAGCATCGTGTTGTCGCGCAGGTATGAATATTACGAATTTTGTGGGCTTTTTCCTTTTTCACGTTGGGTAGGGTCATAAAAACTCTTAAAACCACTTGAACAGCGATATTCTAAAAGGTAATACTTGTGTTTCTCTACGCATTTTTACCATACAAACAAATATCATTTAATTTGTTGGTCATTTAGCCATCTATATGTGTCAAACCAATCAATTGTTTTGGTAATAAGTAATATTCTTATAATAAATTATCCATTTGTTTGGTGCATATGAATGGCTAAAAAATCTTTAAATCTTTAAATCTTTAAATCGAATAAGCTTTTGTATATATGATCTTTAGATGACGATAAATATAATGAATGGTTCCAATTATGATCTTTGCACAATAAAATTCATTAACCATAAATGAGAGGATAAGTAGGTTCCTCCGAAGAGAAAACACAAGCATTATGCTATCTGACTTGCATACTATATTTGAATTAATTTAACTAATTAATAATCTGGCATTACTTTAAATTACGTTAGGCTTTGGATCATTTTTATTTGAGTACATTTGAATGTTGATGCAGGTATTGGAACTAGGGATCGTAGTGCACTCGGTAGTGATTGGATTGTCAATGGGGGCATCTGATAATCCATGCACAATGAGGCCACTCATTGCTGCCATTTGTTTCCATCAATTCTTTGAAGGAATGGGTCTAGGTGGATGCATACTACAGGTTAGATTATTAATTCATTAATCACCAATTAAACTTTGATGCCTTGTATTTAATCAACTAATGCATAATTAAAACTAGGACCACAATTTTTTTCTCTTTTATGGTTCGATTGCAGACTGAATATGGGAGCAAGATTAAGGCAGTAATGGTGTTCTTCTTCTCAACCACAACACCGTTTGGGATTGCACTAGGAATCGCTCTGTCGAACGTATACAGCGACCACAGTCCAACAGCTCTAATTGTTGTAGGGCTGCTAGATGCTGCATCTGCAGGGCTACTAAACTACATGGCACTGGTTGATCTCCTAGCAGCTGATTTCATGGGTCGTAAACTGCAGGCAAATGTGAAGCTCCAAACATGGTCTTACATTGCAGTTCTATTAGGTATAGGAGGGATGTCATTAATGGCCAAATGGGCATAAAAAATTAGCAGTAGCAGTTCAACAATAATGTCAGATAGGATTGTGCTGCTTTTTGTAGTGACTGTTTTGGATGTAGAGTAGGGACAAACATTCTGAGATAATTTTATTCTTTTATTTTTTTTTTTTTTTTACTGTGGCAACAAGTTTGAAGCCTTGGTATTTCTATTAAAATTTTAGATAGACGGTTAATCATTTTGATATTATTCATACTTAATCATCCGTGCAATCAATTTGTGAGGTTTTATGTGAAAAATGTCTCGATGGAATTAGAAATATTATCCAACATTGTCCAACCAATTTCTTTTTCTGTCTTCTTTCACAACATTAGTTTGTATCGTAACAGGATAGCAATGAAGACAGTAAAGAAACCAAGAATTCATAATTTCAATAAATGAACACTAAAAAATCAAAGTACCAACCAACTACACAACAACAATCAAGCGCATTTTCTCATTAGGTGGGATCAGCCGAAAAATACTCACCAAGCCTCAAGAAAAATAAAAAAATTTAACAACCAACAAAACACAATAGAAGAAATTAACACATTAAAAGATGAACAAGGAACGACTAACGAACAAGAACAAGCAGAAGCCAAATGAAAACAGAAACGAACCCACAATGAAAGTAAATTTTTTTTTTACGGAGTAGTAGAGAAATCATACAAAAGGAGAAGCGGTAGAGATGAAGAGGCGACAAATAAATCGATACTAAACAAGAGTGGATTTAACTCAGAGAGATCAAACCCGCTCTAATATCAGGTTAGCAAATCAAGGACGAGAAAAAGAAGAATAAATTGCAAACTCTGAATCTTATTCTACAGACAAAATTAAAGGAGAACACTACACAATCTCCAAGATGGCTTAATCTGAGGAAAACTACATGTCGTTGGACTTAATTGCTACAAAATTACAAGAGTGTACATAAAGGCTAATAAAACAAATAGGAAATCAATCATAAACCTTAACAACAAACGGAAAAACAATCATAATCCGTATTCTATTAAAAAAAAAAATGTAATGTGTACCAGAAATACCTTAACATGATAGATTCCTAACTTGCTAACTTTTCCATCAATAATCACTCAAGATCATTGTCAAGTCAAGTCAACCAATTAGATTCTCAATATTGAGTGCGAAATGCAAGAGAGCGATTGGCCTGGCCCCGATTTTTCATCGTATGAAAATCAAGCTGACATCCCCCTCCATTCAGATGATGGCTCTTGGCAAAATATATCGACTCTTCATTTTCACATGATAAAAAATAAGAGCTAGGCAAGTCGCTCTGAAAACGCACAGGCAAAGAAGATCAAAGTTTGTGTTTGTGGATTGGGACGCAAATCGGGTCTCACCATAAATTGGCCTTATGAAAATTTTCTTTGCGTGACCATATAAATACAAGAAAAACAATATTCACGACCACATTTGATGGACTAATGAGCCGAATAAGAGTCAACGAAATCTGTCTTGTCATCATGATTTACGACTAAGCATGCATGAAGTTGAAGGTTGAGTATGATACAGGCTTAGCCAGCTATGATTACAAAACATGATGTAGATTATTTTCATAAAATTTCAAGTAACATCTATTTACAGGCTTGCAGTACAAAGCTTAGTCTGTGTCACATTAAATCACGAGATTAAGATATATAGGGTGGGGTTGGAGTTTTCATAATTTGTAAACTGCTAATGTCTATCAGAGCTTTAGGTTTATCTTTTTTCTATGATCTGTCAAGAACTTCAAATCTAATTAAAAAATCAAATTAGTATAACAAAAAAAATGATGAAAATCTAATTAGTTAATTAATATTTAACTTAGATGGCGCGAGATCATATTCAATACCAACATTGATGGAGCACTGTCTCTGCACTCTTCTATTAAGTTTTGCACTCTTCTTGAAGGATTGTAAAAAAAATATATTGTGCTGTAAACTGACCAATTCTAAAAGTCATCTTAATCAAGCCCTTATGTCCAAAAACTCCTTTATTCAATTTATATATAATGTTATGAGCAATTTTTAAATATGGACACGTCGCGTCAATATTGCTGGTATTGTTGATATTATTAACTTTCAAGTATCAGAATTGAATGGTGAATGAATTTGAATTACGTAAAAGAATAAAGAATGGTTAATACATGATCCATATGTAGTCAATATTTTGTTTGCAACTGTAGTTAACTACAACGTAAAATGATGGATAAAACATGTGTGATGGTGCCATCATTGATCTTAACTCATAACAAAACCAACTATGTATAACTTTTTTTCCACCAAACAAGATGCAACTTCTATATACTAAAGTCTTAGCCAATACAAATTAAGATTATTGTCTTTCAATAAAGTAAAACATACGACACAAGGACATATATAGAAACCTTGTTGCAAAACACACATCCCCTTAACCAACATAGATATTATGACATAATACCAACTATGTATAACTTTTTCTCCAGCGAACAAGATGCAAGATACTTCTATATACTAAAGTCTTAGGCAATACAAATTAAGATTATTGTCTTTCAATAAAATAAAACATACGACACAAAGACATATATAGAAACCTTGTTGCAAAACACACATCCCCTTAACCAACATAGATATTATGACATAATATCAACTCCAGCATATAATTCGAGTGCATCCTCACGAACATTGGACGTGAAGTATGTAAAGTATTCGGCAAAGTTGAATGGCTTGTACAGCAAAGGATGCTCCTTGTCTATAAATTCCTGTGGCACTTCAATCACCACCTCCTCTTTTGGCACAGAAAATAGGGAATACGAGTACCTCTCTTTGTCCCCACTCATCATAACCCTGTGCGTCACCGCATGAAGCCTCCCATTGCTCCAGGCCTTAAGTGCATCCCCAACAAAGACCACAACAGCTCCCTCCGGGATCATCACTTCAACCCATTTGCCTTGTTTGGTCAGAATCTCTAGGCCTTGCACATCGTTTTGGCACAGAATGGTTAGGGTATTTTTGTCAGTATGAGGCACAAGGCCCAGGGCAGCTGATGGCGATGCCGACGGTGATGTTGTTGATGAGCCAACATTAATGTTGATGTTGCTTGGAGTTGGAGGAGGAGGAGGAGGAGCTTTGTACTTCATGAAACGAAAAACACTGGTGGTGTTTTGGACATGGGTGTCATAGTGGTTCCCCAAACCAAAGCTCTCTAAGATCATCCAAAGGATGGTGATATTCAAGTCCATCATCTTGGAGCACATGGATTTCATTGCCTCACTACATCATTACAACACAAAATACATATATAGTCTTTGATAAAACAACATATATCGTCTTCTCATTCAGCGAATTTATAAGTGCAAAGGCAACCTAAGAAATTATAATCAATCGAGGAAATCAGGAGGCGTGGTAATCAACTGAAATATCAAATACCCATTACTTACTATCATCAACATACAACAAATGTAGCATGAATTCGAACATAAGTGCAGAGGGGAAATAAACAACTCTAGCCAAGTTGGTTAAATCCATTTTCAAAAGATTTAATTTTTGCTCTCACTCAAACTTGTTTAACTTTCATAGTTTGAATTATTTCATAGTTAGAAGAGAAATGTTAAGAGACTTTCTTAAAAGTAAAACTTTCTACGAACTATTTACTACATCACAATTTAATATCAATTTCTTTGCAACATCATACAAAATTTGCAAAAAATAGGAAATAATGAAGAGTCTATAAATAATCTCAGTGTCTTATCATTTCCCTTGTTTATTATTGTACAAAATCCAACAAAATGAGGCATTTACATATTGCAAAACTGATGATCTTTCCCTCTTTCCCTGTGCTGGAGTTCTACAAGGACATGTGGCACCATGATAACCAGGGCGATATAACAATCATATAAAGCTGACAGTCCTTTAATTCAATCTGTTTTGAAGGGATAAGCCTTATTAAATGAGGCATTGGCTGGTAGCGAGGTTGTTGGGTAGCAGCCATTGTCATGTCAAACTGTGGAGTTTTTATGTCATCAAATTTATACTGACATTGCTTCGTTTGAATATGAGATAACTTATTAAGGAAAGATTCTCAATCATATGTACCAGTAAACCCTTAAGCTAGCACAACTATTTTCTAATTTATCCAAGACAGGTAGTGATTATTCTTCTGTTTAGTTGCAATAGTGTTAACTATTAATTAATTATCTCCTAACTATTCAAATCTTTCATGCTATGCATGCACGATCTATGACCTTCATCAGATTCAACTCTTGGAAATCCAAAGTATATATAACATGAGAGAAAGTTTAGAGATAATGGAAAATGGGACTAAAACTTATTTTCGATCTTAAGTTTGTCATTTTGTTCTCTTTCGACGAGTGCTTTAAGATAAATGGAACACCGATTTTAAGTGTAAAACGCAAATTGAGAGTGAGATTAGCAGATATACCTGGAAAACAAAATGAAAACTTGACCTTGTGGGTTTAAATTTTTTTTTGGGGTGCATATATATCTTGATGAGAGATATGCATGCATATGCACACAGAAAAAGTCTAATATTGCAAGCTGTGATCAAAGTTAAAGCAACATGTTTATATATAATTTCAAAGTTTAACTAGAAAGACAAGAAAAATCTCACCAAAATGCAGGGTTTCCTTGAGGCCACATGAGGTTGGTGAAGGCCTGAGCTGCGTCTAGGCGGCAAGCGTCATCGATGCCAAAGCTTTCGTTCAAGGGAATGATCGGGCTCTTGCCTTCGTAGCTTTGATAGGGCTTGGGACTCGTGTGCTTCTGCTTGGTCTCTTCAGGCAGATCAAACAAAGCTTTCATGGCCGTCACCATTTCTTCACGCAACTTCATGGGGATCTCATCCCTCACCAGCAAAAGAAAGCAACCATAATCCTCACATGCCTCTCTCACTTTGTTACTCATAGCTTTCCACTCCTCGCTCCCTTGCTTAAACACTAGACCCTCTGAAAAATCAAGAATTGGGAGTACTTGATCATCCATCTCCATCTCTCTCTCTCTCTCTCTCTCTCTCTCTCTCTCTCTCTCTCTCTCTCTCTCTCTGTCTCCCACTCTCCGACTCCTCTCGTAGTTTTTTAAGAGAAAGGCATCACTAAATTTATAGGAAGCTGGTTCCATGTAACTCTCCCTCCCCCCACCACAAAAGTCCAAAAATTAAATGTGTCTCCTCTTTTAGCTGGTTATTTGCGCAGCATTCCACTTTCTATCTTTTTTTTTCTTTGGCTTGGATATAGATCTTACTTATGTCACAGTGGCATGTCATCACTTTTGTTGTACGCGCATTTTCGTAGGAAGAGTAACGTTAGTGTGATTAAAAAAAGAAAAAAAAAAAAAAAGTCCCCGCGGCTAAAGTATAGCGAGGAGACAAAAATCCTAGACGCCGACTCTTGCCTTTGGTGTTGAGGTTGGTGGCAATCCTTCTTGATTTTTTTTTTTCTTCTTTGTTTCTTATTGTAGTCCTCTCTTAAACTATCGAGGAGAACCTTCAGTTCATGGTTGTGGTCTCTCTCTCGCTTTGTCAAGGAGAGACTTTATGAGGTCATGATTGATCAATCTCGCATTCTAGAGGGGTGATTGTTTTTCAAATATGAGGTGGTGGTGCTTGTGTTTTGTGCGCTCAGTAACTGACCATGAGAAGGAAACTCGATATTTGTTGGAAGGGACTCATAGCAGGGCTTCTTTGCCAATGATTGCAAAATCATTAGAGGTTGGGGCAGTATTTTCTTCGTGGAGCCTCTTCAATAGTTCTCAGGCTTGCAATGTTTTAGTCCTCGTGACTAGGGTTTAGGGTTTAGGAATCATATTATATTTTAATGTGTAGGGTTGTGATGTTCTTTTGACATGTATAGTCTCTTGAATGTTCTAAGAGAAACGTTTAACATATCTTCGTATATACTTTTTTTTTGTTAAACAAATTCGTATATACATTTTTACTATTTTTAATGAAATTCCATTCGTTAAAAAAGCGTTAGAAGGATCATCTTATTTTATACCACAATAAAATGTTACGGTTCACTTTACAGTTTCGTCGGTATATATCGTAAACATTATATATGGTCCCCTTATTCTTTGATATATTATTACAAGAATTAAGGATAAGAAACCAACAGTTCAAATATTTTAAAATGTGTATAATTTTTTAGTGTTGTTGTAACTTATTTTATCTGACAAGGGGAATTAAGGGGCCGGCGGCAAGGAAAGATTGTAGAGAGAGATATGTTTGTAGAATTGTAGGGGAATATGTGTGTTATTTCCTCTTATAGTGTTTTTATTTATAGTAATAAGAGGGAGAAGAAATCCTTCATCCCAAGGAATACAAGTCCATATATATAGGAAAAAATAACTAGAATCAAATCTAATATATAGAATTTACAAAATCACACTTAAATTAGAAAGTTTACAACAAGTGTTTCTAACCAAAAAAAAAAAAAAAAAAAGCCCTGTAGTTCAAAGGATCAATAGGATTC